GAGAAATCTTGGATTTCTTAGCACCGAGCATGAGAAATACTGGAAGTGTGAAGATACTGAAACTCAAGGCTGCACTTTGACATGTTGATACGGGGTTCGTCCTCTTGTTTCTATGGAAGATTTAGTGGAACTTGTTGATATATTAATAGACTTGTAAATGTTGTAAATGGGTGGCATCTCGTTGGTGCCTATATTAATACAATTTTCAAACTTCATATTTCAAACAAAGTGCTACACTTTGACCCGCCTGATCAGCACTGGAGTATTATTGACAATTGGGGGAAATATTTTAGTACAATGACAACTTAGTCTTGTGTTCTTAGTCAAATTCTCATTTCATCACATATGCAATTGTCTTCCATTATTCTCTCCTGTTTCCATGAACAATTTTTTATTGCAGCTTTAATGAATGGACTGTATTATGATCATCTGGTTGAACTAATGGTTCTTACTTGGCTGTTTTGATTGTTTGTTTGCAAACTTCTATTCTGAAATATAGCAATTTTGAATACCAGGGCGGAGCTAATGCTGGACACACTATATACAATGCAGAGGGGAAGAAGTTTGCACTTCACCTTGTACCTTCAGGTATTCTTAATGAGGATACTCTCTGTGTTATTGGTAATGGCGTGGTGGTGCACCTGCCAGGTTTGTTTAAAGAGATTGACGGCCTGGAATCTAATGATGTCTCGTGTAAGGGAAGGATTTTAGTATCTGATCGTGCACATCTATTATTTGATTTCCATCAAGTGGTTGATGGTCTAAGAGAATCTGAGCTTGCTAAATCATTTATTGGCACAACCAAGAGGGGGATTGGACCTTGTTACTCGAGCAAAATGATACGCAATGGCATTCGAGTAAGTGACCTGAGGCACATGGATGTTTTCCCTCAGAAACTTGATCTTTTATTATCAGATGCAGCTGCAAGATTCCAAGGTTTTAACTATACTCCAGACATGCTCAGGGAAGAAGTTGAGAGATACAAGAGATATGCTGAGAGGTTGGAACCCTTCATTACTGATACTGTGCACTTCATGAATGAATCAATCTCTCAAAAGAAAAAGATTTTGGTTGAAGGTGGTCAGGCGACAATGTTAGACATTGACTTTGGAACTTATCCATTTGTTACTTCGTCTAGTCCATCGGCTGGTGGCATCTGCACCGGTCTTGGTATTGCTCCGAGAGTTGTAGGTGATCTAGTTGGAGTGGTATGTGCATATTTTATTTCTTGATATCTTTTATTTTAGGTCTTATGTTCTTTTTGAACAGTTTTGTTTCTATGAACTCCTTATAAGTTCCAGTTTTCTTTCCAACTAATGTTTTGAAGGACTTACAAGATCTCAATAATGGATTTTGTATAGTGCTTATTTCAATTTTGGAAAGAGGATTCAGTTTGCTGACATTTTAGCTTCTCAAAAAATGCTTGCCTTCATTTTTATGATGTTAAGATCAAATATTTTGGGTTTTGTATAAGTTAATAAAAACATTTTTGTTCTCTATGGCAGGTAAAAGCATACACTACCAGAGTTGGTTCTGGTCCTTTCCCAACAGAAATATTGGGTCAAGGTGGTGACCTACTTAGGTTTGCTGGACAAGAATTTGGCACGACGACTGGTCGTCCA